CATCACAGAGCTTCGTGTAATCTTAATCCTAATAAATTTAATTAATATTGTTGATATTTTCTGTTCTGTTTCTATGGTTTATATGCTATTGTCCCGGGGTTCGTTGGTAGAGAGTAGAGAGTTCAGAGTCATTTAAACTTTCACAATTACAACTTTAGAATTGGGACTATAGTTATTATGTGTAACAACTGTTTTTGAATAATAGAGAGGCTAAGAGTGAGGGATCTATATAAGACCTCATTCATTTTCTAAATAAATAAATTATATATATATATATATAAGAGAAATATGGGTATGCTTGGTACCAAGCACAAAAAGTTGTGCTTGGTAGTGAGGTGTCAAATCCTCCTCCACTCATTCAAATATGGGAACAAATTCACATGGTTAATGAGTGGATGAGGATATGACACATCACTACCAAGCACAAAATTTGTGCTTGGTACCAAGCATACCCATTTTCTCAACAAGATGTATGGCGACTTAACTCATTTACTTATCACTTGACCTAAGTCTAAAAATGTTTGATATTTGCTTTGAATTACACTTTACTATTAAAAAAAGGCTAAATAGCACTTAAATATCTTAGGCTTCATTTGGATATCATGGTATTTTCCTCGTTGTATTTTTTTAAAGCACTATAGTGTTGTGTTTTCCATCCATAGTGATTACAAAACACCACAGTAAGTGTTTTTTTTAAAACACTAGTTTGACCATTTATAACATTAGTATTAAATATGTTCTTGATATATTAAATATTAACTATAATAGAAGATATGATAATTAAAATGTTATAACACCATACATTACAACAAAATGTATTATAATATTATATTATATCATTTAATATATTATATAATGTTGTAATTATAATTATTACATATTATTTTCAAATAATAATATATTTCATTATTTTGGTATACCAATTTGTTATTGTTATATACTATTCAACATTATTAAAAACATATTATTTTATTATTAATACAATATCATACTATTATCAATAATATTATATTATTATTAGTATATTATTTATAAATTAACCATATAATTAATAATTTAACATTGTATGAAATAATATAGTTTATAATATATTAGAATTTATTAATAATATTTTAATACTTTATGATATAAATAAAACATTATTAAATTATGAATATATTATTGTTACATTAACATTTGTTACCAATATACTATTTTATTATAGGAAACCTAATTTTCTAGTGTAATATACTATATTATTTATTATATAATATATTAATATTTTTATATATTATTTAACATTTTTAAATAATATCTTTTATATAATATGTTATTATATTATTATTCAATTATTTTTTATTAAATGTATTACTATTATACAATATTTTATAATTATTAATATAATATTTATCATTTATTAAAATTCTAATAGTATTAAGAATTTATAATATAATTTATTTTACTGTATAATTTATTATTATATTAGTTATTATACTATTAATAAATTATTGCATATATTTATACTTTTTATTGTTGATGGCTAATATCAAACAGTCAATGAGAGAAGTGATCTTGGTTGACAGATGTCCTTCTACCTCCGAATGTCGGGTTCTGAGGTGGCTATTCTTCCCTTACACAATCAGAAAATCGTAAGAAGGCAGAATGGGCTCTCCAGTTGTTCCTCCGACGATCAAAGTCAGTAATTTACTTGAGTGGAGAAGTAACTAAACTATAGTAGTTCTTAAGCACCGTGGGTAAAGATAAAGATCTTACCTTTATGTTGAAAATAGTAACTATATTTATAGTAGTAGTAGAAGGGTAGGATGGTAACTTCGACCGAGTATGGGTTGGCGGTCAAGTCAGCATCTACTTTACAGGGTGTTGGCTGATGAGTGGTGGGGGGTCACTTCCGCGTTTAATGTGAAGTGACTGGGGGCGTGCGATGTTGACGTCGTTCGATGTGTCGTAAAGACTATTGAGGATAGAGAAATGATGGCGTCGATCATGCATTTAATGACATTTATTGTGAGGTGATTGGCTGTTAGTGGGCAGGAAGGAGACTCGAGCCTCGAGATAGCCGTCGCCTTTCTACTCGTCCAATAGAAGGTCAAGAAGTACCACCTTTTGAGTCGCCCTCGCGAGATGTCAGGCGAATGGTCAGTTGAGTAGGTTGGTCAAGAAATCAGCCTAGCCAGGGGTTGATATGTAACACCTTGTGAGTCACCATTGTGATATGTTGGTGTGTCGAGTCGTCCGAGCTAGGTCTTTTGGTTATCTTGAAGTGAAGAGCCGGCTCGATTATGCATAATGTGGGACACTTGTCTGCTATCGATTGGAGATTACTTTTAGCACTAAAATGGTTATAACAATTATTATTTATGATTATATTATTTTAACTATATTACTATATGATATATTATCAACATATTAAATAACAATATTTAATATGTTATTATATTTTTACTATACAAGATATTTTAATTATTAATATTTCTTATTTCATTTACTAAGTAGTGCTAATATATTAGATTAAATATAATATAACACTCAATGTTGATAATAAATTTATCATTAATTTTAATTTAATTATATATATATATAATATACTATATAATATATATATATATATATATATATATATTATATATATATATATATATATATATATATATATTATATATATTTATTTATTTATATTATAAAATTATAAAATAATATTTATTTATTTATTAATTAGATTATGACCCTTTATTAATATAATAAAATATAAACTAATGATACTATATTATATTATTACTTTTTTATTAATCAATAAATTATTGCATTATTAATACTTTAGCAGCGTAGAGCATATATAGTTTTTAATATATTAGAAGTTTACTAATAATACTTAATAGTATATTAATAATTTATGATATAAATAAGTATTATTATATTATGAACATATTACTGTTAGATTAACATTTGTTACCAATATATTATTTTATTATTGCTAACTATTTTTCCTATTTAATATATTATATAATATATTAATATTTTATATTTATTATATTACACTTATTTAATAATACATTTTATATAATATATTATTATTATGTTATTACTCTACTATTATTTTATTATCAAATATAGTACTATTAGATAACATTTTATAATTATTAATATATTATATATTATTTATTAAAACCTTAAAAGTTTATGATTATTATATGACATAATATATATGTATAGTTTATTATTATATCATTATTATATCATTATTTATTATTAATTTCATTACATGATTTTATTTTAATATATTTATATGTTATTGTTTTATTATAACTATATTATTATATAATACATTATCAGTATTTAATATGTTATTATATTATTACTATACAAGATATTTTAATTGTTAACATATTTTGTTTTATTTACTAAATAGTACTAATCTATTAGACTAAATATACTGTAATACAATATAATATAAGAAATAGTTTAATTATAAATTATATTAATTATATTTAATATATTATGTTAGATATTATTTTAACATCATCTCAAACTCGAAACCGAAACACCAAACTCAAAACACCTAAAAGGTGTTTTGAAATAAGTGTTATGTTTTTTATTTGAGGATATTTTAGATCAAAAATCACCAAGGTTTTCAAATGTATGGTGTTTTATTTTTGGCGAAAACACCATGGAAACATGAAAAACAACATGGTATCTTGACGCTTCCTTTTATAGTTTGACTCATTTAGTACCTGCATACCCTCAATTATTTTTTGTAGCAATTATATACCTTAAGTTGTTGAAATTGGCACATTAGTACTCTCTATTATGCAAGCATGAAAAGTTTCACTCGAAAGTTTCTATACAACGTTAGCATGTTAGTTTTACAACCATTAATATTTATTAAACTTACTGTTAATTATACCCAACTTCTAACTTAAATGCATCCCGATTTTATTTTTAAAGCAGAGTTTAGATAGATTTAACGGTAAATTCAACAAACTTAATAGTTAGAAAGTTATAAAATTAGCATATATATGTTATATGAGACCTTTAAGATGAAAATTCTCACAATTGCATTACGTATGGTACTAACATACTGATTTTAAACAGCATAGGGTGTATAATTACTACGAACAACAACTCAGGATATGTAAGTGTTAAGTGGGTAAAACTACAAGGTAATTTAAAAAAGGTCCGAGAAAGTTGTATCACAGTAGTTATGCATCTCGCAACACTGAAAATCACTTTGGAGGGCAATTTTCAGGCTACGTCGGATACATCACGATGGTTTCCATCTTAGTTGCATTTCTTATCATTTCGCGGAAAATTCACGAAGACCGATACTTGGAGCGGCAGACGCTTGAATCTGAAACCATCGATCAAGGTTGATTTCAATGTGATCAAGCAGTATGTAGCTCAATTCTTGACGAGTCCAGGGATGTTTCAGGTGCTTGTGTGGGCTTGCAGGATTGAATGCCGCTTTGGTTTGAAGGAGAATTGGGTGACTGATATTAGAAACCCCCCCCCAAACATTTCTCATCTTTTTCTCCCAGTCAGCACATTTATAGATTATTAAGAAGGCGACTGAGAAAAATTGAAGAGTTCATACAAACTTTTACGCAGGCACCTTAGGAATTCGGCACGTATTGAACCTAAATGAAGAAGCACCTATTTCTGTAAACATGCATGATCTTATGGTCACTCACATTGGCTTGGTCGAGGACTCGAAGGATAAACATACGCCTGCGAACCGATGCATGTTCTATACAACTTGCATGATAAAAGTACCATAATCCATTGAGAAATCAGATTACTCTACAAGATGCATTTAGGTTTTCTCCAAAGCAAGTTCCAGAACAAATACTAGTTTCATAAACATAAAAACCTCAGATATAAAAATTATATTCCCTCCTATTATGGATATCCTAATTTATTGATATTTTCTGTTCACCTTAATAAATATTTTTATTCCACCATAAGAAATATACTGCACGCTTCATATGGATGGTACATCAAAAAAAAAAAAAAACCGAGCACGTCAAAATTACTGAGTATAGCATGTAGTTAATATATACGCTTTATATGTTGAAAAACTGTACACTGTGATATGGTAAACAATAAAATTACACTCAAACTTCTTTTATTCAGCTAAAACAAATAGATCACTTCGACCTTTCCCTATCGGAAGCTCTATTCTGTGAGAACCCTTATACTTACAAAATTAATGCAACGAAATGTTCCCTATTGTTCCTTCAGCTTCGAAAGAGGCTCAGATTAACGCAACAAACCCCTTGTTTTTTTTTCTTGTTTCTCGATTTCACATCACGATTATTGTCCATTTGATGGAAGCCATTTGATCTTAGGTTCTCTTCAACGCACACCTTCCTCATGCTTTCTGAAACTGGAGGCTGGGTCAAAGTTGTAATCTCTGCCGTCGACTTCTCATCCAAAGCTAGAATCCTCTCTTTCGATAATGTCAGATGGCTTTGATCGTCATGGTTAGCTGCTCTCGGAGCAGAATTCCTTCTGCAATGCACCAGAATGTGAACAAGAAATACAAGATATTAAACAATATATCAGTCTTTTACTATCAATCAGCGGTGTTTTACATAGTGTTCAGTGGTGTCACGGGGCACCTCTGGGTTGCTAATTTTACTTGTATTTACTACTTAAGACGCCATTAGAACAGAGGGGAGAACACCACCAAGAAGGATAGTCAAAAATACTTTCATGAACTAATAAGTCATATGGGATCTATCCGGACAAAATCCCTGATCCCTGCTCAACATGTAGATCACCTCAAAAGGAAAAAAGCAATATATACACACACATAGAGACATAAGACATACATAAGGAGGACTGGTGCATGTCACACATCTAACCTCCTATAGCCCATATAATCTATACATCCGGATTATAGTGAGAGCCTGGATATGCGACACGTCAGCATCACAACTTGGAGTGATACACAAACCCCAATTACGCTATGTATGAGGATGTGTATGTATAATTGTATATACATCAGCATATGTACCTCATCCAAATATCACCTTGATGAATTCACTGACTTATAATTCTATCTACAAGCAAACACTCTAAAATTGTACAAAATTGCATTAGTACAGCTAACACAATCATCGAAGAAGGTAATCTAGGTCGACACTAGTAAACCTTTTTTTAATCGACAAATAACAAAGCAATTAAGAAAAGGTTATTGGGGATAGACCCCCTGATATCATTGTTTTGAAATTATTATCCCTCTAATTTTGTTGTTGCAGATGGACCCCGAGTAAAATTTCTTTCTTTCTTTTTAAATAACCCTGAGGAAGTATGTTTATCAAAGAAATAGCAATATGCCGATACTATAGAGGTTGTGAGTTCAAAACAACAATACTACAGTAGATCCGCAATTAAGCCTTAAAAAACTACTACTTCAACCTTGACATAGAATTTCTAAAATTCTAATAAGTTCCAAGTATATTAATATGTTAATAACTTTTAAGTGGAGACAGATTTTATTCATCGAAAATCAATATTTGTATACTTGCACTGACCTGAAATCTCCAGCATCTGCAGTGACTTGTGCCCCTGGCGAACTTCGATTGTTGATACTATTTTCAGTTGTGTCTTCTTTGATATTAGGAGAAGAATTTACAACATCAGAAGGTGGAATCTTCTGATTAATAGAGAAGCAATCACTTTGATTGCTTCCAGAGAACCCTCGTCCCCGTAGAACAGCAATTGCCATGTCAACTGTTCTTAGAGCATGTTCAACCTCTGGGCTAACAAAAATATTTCCTTTGCTCACAATTTCATCAGCCGATAGTATCGTATCAGTTGAGGAATCTTCTTTGCTCACATGTGCCTCATTAGAGATTACCTCATTCTGCTCAGTTTCCTCTTCCACAATCTCACTGACTGCTTCAACTTCTGTAGATGATGCATCAGAGTGTCCCTTTACTTCAGGAGCAAGGGCCTCGTGTTTCTCCTCATCTGAAATTACCGAGTCTGTCTTGATTTTGTTGATGGCATCCAGGGCTTCACGAATCCGAGCATACATTGGTCCTTGCAGAGCTGGACGGTAATCCTCGTCAGTTGTGGCCACAGAACGCACTGCCTGCCATATGCCATCCATTTCTAATTGTTATTTACAAACGGCTAAGTTATTCATGAAAGGTGTTAAGAAAATAATAATTGAGTTTGAAGGAAATGATTTGGATTCCAACACTTGGAAAAAGAGGTGTTGATCATTATTAGTTCAAATTCGATTCGGGAGATCATTAAGAAAAATTAAATAATTTTAATAAACAAATATTAAACAAATCAAATATGAGCATTTGTATATTCAATTCACATTCTTTTGATTCCTTATAATTTGTTTAAATTACTCCCATGATATTATGTTCTGATCCTCACCTTTTTTTAGTTTAGATTATATGCTAATTTTGGAGAATTAAAGAGTCCAAAACCGATTTTTTTACGAAATATTTATATTACAGATTACACATCATAGTTATAAAGGAATAAATTTCACTTACAAATTTAATTCTACTTTGAAAAATAAATTCATTATCTAATGAAAACTATCTGTCAACCAAATTTAAATATCTTCTTAGTTAAAATAGCTTAATTTTCATAAACTATATTAAACTAACAAATAGATTTAGTTTTAGTATTCAATAAATATTCAAAGAATATTTGTTTTCGATTTCATATTCGAAGAAAATTCCTAGAAGGAAATCTGAATTTGGTTTCATTCATTTTCAGCCCGAGAAATGGTTCAAGGGTACAAAAACAATATGTGACTTCTGATATACTCCTACCTATCACAGGTTAGACTCAACCTCTGTTTTCAATTGTTATAGGAAGATTAACATAACTTCCCCTCTTAGGAATAGAATGTACTATCACAAGATAATAGATGCAAACAAAAAAATCATCATTTCACTGTTAACATGGTGTAATAAGTCAAAAATAAACCTTTGAATATAGTTTGTGTCCACTGCCAATGAGCTGCCTCGATATGAAATTGATTAGTGTCGGAGGCACAAAATCCAGCTTGATATCCATGTTGGCTATAACCCTAAAAAGTTGGAAAATAATACTACTTAAAGTAGAAGGATCAAGAGAAATAAAGTTGTGTACAAACTGTAATTAGAAGTACAGGCTAAAGTTGGTGTATAAACCGCAATTAGATGTACAGGCACAAAATACAGAATTATTAAAATATTAACAAAACTAAATAAAATATTAAAAACACATGATTACATTATCAATCAAAAAATTTCAATAACTGAAAAAAAACTACTATATTGTCACGAAAGGGATATACAAAGTATTTCAAGTTGAACATTAATAGGAGGATTCATATTGTGGAATTGGTTTAAAAAAAAGGAATTTCATGATTTTTCTGATTCATTTCGTTCACTTGGGTTGCTGAAATCTATTGACTTGGATAACTATGTTTTATAAGAGTTCTTAATTTTCTTTATTCGATGTAATTGTTGACAATATCACCTTCTCCTCGCCAGAAGGTGGGATTTGCTTTAAAATGATGAGCTTATTTTATATATATATATAATATATATATATATATATATATATATAATATATATAATATATATATATATAGAGTAGAGAGGAGGAGAGAGGCCACTGGAGGATTGGCCTGAGCAGCTCTTCTCAATGGCCTATATACTATATATATATATATATATATATATATATTATAATATATATATATACAGAGAGAGAGTAAAGCTCTATAAACTTAAGTGGATAGGGAGCACTTGTCAACTAAACTTTTTATCCTTCATTATGCTTTGAGATTTGTGTTACACTCAAATGCTATCTTTGATATTTGTGCCTTCATTTATATCATATGCTGACAAATCTCAATGTAAAATCAATGGATAAAAAAGTTGTTGACAAAGGGCTCCTATCCACTTAAGTCTATAGGAGGAGAGAGAACCCGCCATGGGGATTGTGTCACATCATTGTCAAGGAGGGAAATCCCCTCCCTTGACAAGGATACTCATTAATCTCATCTCTCTCTCTCTCTCTCTCTCTCTCTCTCTTCTCTTCATATATATATATATATATATTATATATATGTGTGTGTGTGTGTGTGTATCCATTGTATTTCCCTTAGAAAATCCATATAGACTTTATTTTGTAGAAAAATTATTATCTGATCAGATTTAGTAGTAATGGTGAGCCTTTTTTCTCCTTTCATTCCTTTATCTTTTCTTTTTTTGTTGTTGTTGTTTTCTTTTTTTTCTTTTTTCCTTTTTGTGTGTGTGTGTGTGGGGGGGGGGGTGGGATTGGGTCGATTAAATGCAATATTTAAGGATTTATAGTGATAACCCCTTTACTTTTAAAAGTCAGGAGTCATCATATGTTTCGAGCCTACATGATATCATGTTAAACTCACTGTTTTAAAAAACCTCCGTCTAGTCCGCTTAGACGTACGCCTAGGCCTAGGCGGTACCTAGACCGCCTAACTAGCGCTTAGCGCCTAGGCGGTATTTAGGCTGCCCACCTATGTATTACGAGGGTTTAGGTGAGCATTGTCTGCTTACGTAGATTGCACCTTGTAGGCCTTGATTGTGATTTTATGTGTCGTAGCTTATACGTCCTCCAAACTCCATTAACCTTCAAATATGAACACCTTCACTACCTCCTCCGACCTTCAGCAAAACCTCATCAACCACCACTTAAATGAAGAAAGAAAAAAAAAACACCCAGAAACCGCTTAGACGCCCGCCTAGGCGACTAAGCGTTGGGCGCCAAGTCCGACGCCTAGAAATGCCCAGCGTTTAATGTAACATTGCTTAAACTGCACTTCTTTTGACAGTGAATTCAACATCATCAACTTTTATGGAGAAGTGGTGAAGTCAAATTCGAGATGGAATTGGGCGAAATGTTAAAGTTTAGAGAGATCAAATTTCAATTACCTGTAGGCAAACTAAATTAATAAAATAAAACATGATGAAGTCAGAAATTGTCTATGAGCTGCATGTTGTGGAAGTTGTAGGAACTTCACAACTTTGTTAAGGATTATTGCCGGTATAAATCTCAAACTAGTATGAAAACATAACTTTCGAATAATTGTAGGACAGCTTTCTGTTAAAACTCACCGAAAGTAGCTTCTGTTGGAACCAACTTTTTGTAAAACAAAACCTCCCACCAAATCGACCCGTACTGTTTCTTTTGCTTCAGGAATTCCATCGCTGTTGAATCCATGCGTATTTACATCAATATTCTCTGTGTCTGAAATCTAATCAAAATTAAAAAAAAAAATTATTACCAACACCATGCAAAAGTAAAACACTAGATTTTCATGAGTTAAGAGGATCAAGAAACGATTATGCAAACCGTGTTAAGAAGTACAATGATGAGATCTTCTTTGAAGTATTCAATTTCAAAGAAGTGCAGTAGAATTTCCCTATCTGAAACTGGCCATGCAACCTTCACCCTTTCTTCCAAATAGTTAAAAATTAACGTTAACATCTCAAAGTAAAAGGAAAAACAAAATCATAAAATTAAAGAAAATGAAGTTATTAAATTACAACGTCTTGTTAAAATGAAAGATAAAAAAGAGTACCTTATCAATGAGATTTCTTCCCCAACACAAACTTTTTTCAGACGGACAGAGCTCGTAATTTTAAAAGTAGGAATGTTGTATTGTGGCCACCTGAGAAAGAGATAACTGGTTAACACATGGACTAAGAATAAGTTATCTTATGTCTAGATATTAATATACTACCAAGTTTAGTGTGTTGTAGATGATATATTGCATTGTTTTAAAAAGCTTCCGCCTAAGCCTAAGCAGTACCTAGGTTGCCTAACTAGTAACTAGCACCTAGCGTCTGGGCAGTGCCTAGGCTGCCTATCTAAGTTTTGAAAGTGTGTAATGGAGCATTGTCTGCTTACGTGAACTGCACCCTTTAGGTCTTGATCGTGATTTTCTGTGTTACAGACTCCACGCCCTCCATCCTCCTTCAAACTCCTTTAACATTCATATATGAACATCTCCACTACCTTCTCCGACGTTCAGCAAAACCTTCTCGATCACCACTTAAATAAAGAAAGAGATCCGCCTAGACACTAGTCTGGCACCTAAGCTTTTGCTAAAATTAACATTCACTATCAATTATTGTAATTAAAAAAACCTCCTAGACTCTAGGCGTTGGGTCTAACGCCTACACCTCCTAACACTTTCTAGCATTGTTAGTTATTATTTTGGCTATTTAGTATTTAATTATGCATGGCTTATTGTGGATCTAAAATTGCTATCTTTTTTTGACAAATTTATATGAATTTAATGGATATTTTTGTCAATTATTATAATTAAATAATTTAAAAATAGCCAAACACCTAAGCATCTAGGCACTACCTCAAACGCCTAGTCCGCCTAGCACATTCTGTAATTGATATATTGTATCTAGCATGTGAGCATGCATATATACATATATAATACAAATGGACTGGAAATACATGAACATGGTACCTTGCAAATTATGGTGCAATCCTTGTAATATATTTGTATATCGATCCGAGCCCTCATCAAGAAACATTTTACTCATGGTATCCCCTTTATACCAAAAGTTATAAACCTTTTAATAGGATACATTTTTGAAAGAAGCTGACCAAAGATGACTAGCCTAATGCAACTAATGTAAGAGAAAAATCCAAATTTATATGAAAATAAATCGAGAACGTGATAATACTATAATACATAAGAAAGCACATTTGAGATTAGAATACCAATGGAAGTCAAATGCATCTTAAGTTTAATACACTCACCACTTCTTGTACAAAGTTGTCTCCCATGAGACGCACAAACCTAAGAAAATGAAGAGAATCGTGTTAAAATTACTTGTCTTAAAATCGTTAATTAGAAATCATATATCAATACCAAGACTTTTGAGTTACTAACTCACAGACATCAATCGGTCCATCTACGTAGCCTTCAGCAAGTAAAGTATGAAATGGAGTTCCATGGGGGCCTTCACGATACATCACACGGAGTTGGTCAGTATCTTGTTTGACCTACAAAAGTGCATAAGATAAATTAATAGTCTGGTCTGAATTGCAATGAGAAAAGGTATCACATTCATAAAAGAACATGAATCTGACTACAACGACGGCGACATGAATTGAACCCGTGCCCTAAATTCAACAATCCAAGCCTGCACAATTCTACTTAAGCACTGCAATATTTATAATTCTAGTTGGCATATTGTGTTTCTTTGGGATAAAGGCTTAGTTTTTGTTGTATCTATGGTGTTTCTTTTACCCATGCTCCTTCCGTAGTAGAGTTTTGTTTACAGAGTCTAAGACAAGATCGACTATGCAAACCATGAAAAGGCCTATACAACTTACAGGAAGAGATCTTGCCCCCCACCCACCCAAAAAAGAAAAAAAAAAAGAAAAGAGAAAAGGATTACCTTCCACTCTTTCTGTGATGCATCATGGACTTTAACTGCCTTCTGATCCTCCGAAGCACTTCTCAGCATCTCAAGAAAATTAGCAACTTCCATTGCACGTTTCTCTATAACATTTCCCATGTTTCCTAAGAAAAAGAAAAGGAAGTTAGAAGCATCCAGTGAGATAATATCCTGCGATAACAAAGAAAACTAGATCCTTGAGCAACCAAGTCTATCATCTTAAAAGGAAAGTTTCACATGGATAGGGATGATGTAACCCGCATTATGATCATTTATATTTAGGGCTTTTTTCCTTACAGATTGGGATCAATACAGAGAGCGATGCAAAATCAAGAAATCACCACAACACAATCAACTAAATCTTTAGAATTGGCTATGGAACTGATGAAAATCTAATAGAGTTGGTGCCAAATATCAGACTTAAGCACAAGAGAGCCTTACAGTAGGACATTGGCAGTTGTTTGGTAGGTAAAAGAATACATATTTGTTTACTTATGCAGCTTATGCACAACCAAGGAGCAAGCGCCCACTGGCGGGAAAGGTCTAGATGTGGGGGCACCTACTGCTATTTACTGCAGGATATCACCTCTATCTTGAGGCAAACTATAAGTTAAAGAGCAAATGGAGTCTCCTTCCGGAGGTGAGATAACTTGCTTTGATTTACTAAGGTAAAAGGAAATTCAATGATAGTAGTTAACTTTAATCTGCAAAATTTAGTTCACTCCAGCCCATTTTTAAGCCCTTTGCAAAAAATACTCATTTTCAAGCAAGAAGCAATCCTTCAAATTATGAGGAAAGTACAAGACCATATACATTTAGTCTCACAAATTCCTTAAGAATCTCCCAGCATAGCAAAGGTATATGTAAATTCTTATCATGCTTACACGAGAAAATAAGAGGATTTGGACTTAGTTACAGGTTGCAATCATTTCAAAAAGTCATGTTTATCAAATAAAGAAAATAACAGAGAAAAAGTAAATATACCAATCATACAAATCAGATTTCTACATGGACATATCTTCGAAAAAGAGAATTACAGTGAAGATTGGAAAAGAACTAACCCTCTTCCCGAGAGGAGCATGAACGTAGGAGCTGATTTTTGACAAGAGACTTAATTGAATCTTCATTTACAAGATCAGGCAGAGCCAATGTCTTGTCTAATCTCTCTCGTGATTCCAATATCTTTTGTTTCTTCTCCATTCTTGCATCACCAAGGCTACCAAAGCACAACTTATAAACACGCTACACAGTGGAGGATCCAGGAAAACCTTCTCAGGGGAGCGGACAACAATTATCCGTCTACCCAAAACTAAAATATAACAGAATGAAACTACATCACGTGATGGGAATGCAACTCAGTATGCTTATTAAGCTTCATGCATCATATTTTGCGTGTAAGTGATAGATAAACAAAAGTGAGTATTTTCACTAATGATTTACTTCCACTAATGAATTAAAAAATGTATACTTTCTATTTAAAGTACTCTACAAATTCCAATATTGCAATTACGATCTAACATATTTGTTATACAATTTAAACAAATACACATCAAATCAAACTCATAACACAAACACAAGGTATACGCTAAGTTATTACTAGGCTGCTATTTGTTTAATGATTATATAAGGGATTGTTTACATCTCACTACCCTGTGGTATGGTGTAACTACATAGGATGACCACATGGCCTGTGTATCTACACAGATAACTTTGAAATTACTGAGTGAGACTATGCCTCGTTTGGTACGTGGGAATGAGTAGGAATCAAATGCAATTCCAACTTCCAATTGATGCTTACCAAACACGATATGTTTTTAGATGCTAGAAATGGCATTCTCACTTCCAATCAATTCCCACTTAAAGTTGGAATTGCTGTTCCCAATGAGTTATTAAGGAATTGATATTTCTACTTAAGTGAGAATGAAAATAATAAAATAAATTTTGAATGTACCCTTCTCAAAGATATTCCCACTTAATTTTCTAATACACCCAAACATGAGAATAGAAATGAGGATTCCATTCCCACATTAGTTACATTTTATTTCTACCTTCATTCCATTCTCACTTGACTCTATTCCCATGTACCAAAGAAGGCGCAAGGGTAACCCTGATGGAAGTATAATCTTAAGGTTATTTAGGGTTACTCGTGTAGTCTCAGTCAGTAATATCAGGGCTATCAGTGTAAATACATAAACCTTAGGGTCACCTACGTAATTACACCATACTACAGGATACTGGGATGTAAATAATTCTTATATAGTAATTGTTGGATGCAAATATTTTAAAACTGGGTTTTGTGCGTGCGCGCTGTTGGAGAGGGGGGGCAGAATGTTTTCTTTTATTAGGGTTGCCGCTAGCTCCATAACCTATAACTTACATCTGCCCCTGACGTTACAGCACATGCACAGTTGCAAAATCAGCAGTCCAAAGATGCTGTCTGGGGGGGGGGCGCCGGGGGGAAGTAAAACCCATTGGTAGAAAATCATTGAGACATCATGTCTTGTAAGCTTATAAAACAAACAACCGAAAAAAACTGTACATATTAGGTATCTCTTTATTGTAATATATAACTAAGTTCTTTATAGGTAGGTTTCAGCTCACGATTCAGCGATATAAATTGTGAATAAAAGAAAACAAGGTAAGGTGCAACATTGAAAATCATATTAAAACTGGTGAGCTCTTCCTTTTGGAAATATGAATATATGGAGCAGAAATCTCTGGGTATTCTTTATGCTCATAAGAAAGGTACGAAAGAATATTGCACATCATCAGGACGTATCCACATCTAAAAACAAAAGACATAAGAAATGCAGGAAGAAATGTAAACAGAAAAACATAGATATCTGACTACTAAGAGCCCATATCTCAATTGAGAGACTTTTCAGTCTCTTGTTTTGAAAACATCAAACCACAATGAATAATGTTTATGTATACTTAATCATTTTACAAAGCCAAAGAAAATTTTATGTAATGTTCCCCCACTTTTATACATCTAGAGTAGTTGTGTCTTTGTTATGAAGCAACTGACAGTTTTAAGTTATATCAACTAACAGCTACTAAACTGTCTTCTTTCTTTCCTTTTTCCCTTTTTCTTTTTAGGAAAAGGTTAGCTAATGATCAATCCTCTTCCTCTCATGTTGTAAAGAATTGATTTCCAGAAGAAGCTATTGATAATCCCAGATATGATCAGTATAGCCGTTACTAGAACTACCCTCAAATCCAGTTATCCCATGAAACATACATAATTGATTGAAAGTAATTGCATAAATGCTCTAAAATACAAAAATTCAATTCTCAGTTGAGTTTATTCTCGTGATTTTGAGGGGGAAAAAGGAAAAAGGAAAAAAAAAGAGAACATAGAAAGATGAGAAATTTTTTAATCCGAAACTTAACTGGCAACATCATTCGGAAAATCCAAGCTCCCGAGCAAAATGAAACAACTCTGCATATGGGAATTTCAAATCCTAAACAGACACCCTCTCTTTTTTCCTTCACATGGCATCAACAATAACTAAACCAAATTCTAAACATAACATACAATCAACAGATAACTGCACCCAAAATCAAATTCTACCGAATCACATCAATAGCACTGAGAAATACATCTTTACAAACTAATCAGTTTTCTTTGTGCTCCATAAAAACTATACTCATATTTTAAACATAAAAGTAAAACTGCATCAAAAAGTTCTCTTTTTTAAGAGGAATACCTACTATGAGACCCCCCAATAATTCTCCAATGAACTCATCAGCTAAAACACCAAAACACAAACCAACCCATATCAAAAATTTATATAGCTCTCAATAAAATAAGACAATCAGAGCTATAATTAGCCTAAAACCTTGAGCCCAGATCCAAGATATACAGAACCGACCCCTATTTCACTCACCAATAAAAATCAATCATGAAACCAACTCATGTCCCCTAAATACTCACACAAAACTCTAGGGCTCAACAGAGACCCACATGCCAATTTCATGGAAATACTTGAAACAATTTAAGAGGGGGCAAGGGGCGGGGGAAGATCACCTGAAGGAGAGAAAGATTCCAACTTTTCCTGCTCTCCTCTCTCTTTTTCTGTATAGATAGATAGATGGATTCTCCCTCGATTGAATGAAGTTGTTGGAGTTGGGTGGCATATGAGTAATCTTGGGTAGTTGGTGGGTGGAAGATCCAAAATTTAATTTTGCTTTTTTACCCCTAAAGAAAACGTTGGGAGATAATTTTTTTGCTTTTTATTCGATAGAATATTATGAGAAGTTAAATAAAAATTGGGGAGAGTGTGAGCATTTGCGGCCAAAATAGGTAAATATGGCTGGGATTTGTGTTGGGATTTACAAAGGCAACAAAACTAGGAACAGCTGTTGGGTGTTAACAACAAGCAAGTAATATCTAGATGCAGATATTTGATATTTTGATATACACATACAGATATTTTTTTCAATATTTTAAACATATTATGAATATAATTACGTATACAAGTAAACTATCCTTATTCACATCTTAGTATGTATATATGTATATTGTTCAGACGATTGGAATTATTTGGATTTTAAATTAGTTTTTTTTTTAAATGTGTTGAATATATTGATGGGCTTTAATATGTGTACGTGTATACTGTTCAGACGATTAGAATTATTTTGATAATTTTTTCAATATGTTGAATGCATTAATGGACTCTGACTTGAACTTTTTGTTTTATTTAAGTAGCTTTATATTACATGATATGCACACCTTTTGGTCTTATTTGTTCCCTAGTATATGCTTTTAGGTTGACAATTATTTTCCTCTTGTCCAGTCTGTGGTCCATTCTATGTGGACTAACACAGATTATGACTTTTCCTTACAGAATAAGTTTGTATTTATATATGTATTTGTGAATAATAATGAAGAAAAGTAAGATATTTACGATAATTCTAATCATATCTCGTCCGTTTAGAAATCATTCATTTACTCTCGATATTTATTCGTTTCTTAATTAGTGTTTTTTAACACTTGGCAGATTAACTGTGCAGGTAGACTAGGAGAAAAGCATCCTATGTTTTTTTGCAGTCACATTTACATTTCGATTTTTGGAAAATAAAATCAGCAAAAAGATTGAGATTTGGAATTCAGAGTGGATTCTGATTTTATTACGTAATGCTAAATATGTAAGTTGGAACTTGGATAATTTTAAAATTCAATAATTCAAGAATTGGCATTTATTTGATGTACATTTACTGTCATGGACTTGCTAGATCTTATAAAAACTTGAGATCTAAAACCATAACGTCATAATTAATTCGAAGAGATTAACAAGAATCAAAAGAGCGGAAGCTTATACCTGAATCCATAGATGAAACTTGAGATGGGTTTTGGATCTTCTAACCTTAGGGTTTCTCTAGCCAAATTTCTCTCTAGATGGGGGTGAAAAGAATTAGAGAATGTAACCCTAGATTAGGGACCATAACCCCTTATTTATAGATGTTGTACATTTATAATTTGGCCCCTCATCAAATCACAATTACAACCTGGTATCTGCAGATATAACCCCATGACTTATTTAAATACCCATTAACCCAAATTAATTAATCACTTTAGTGGGTTATCCTGAAGGATAGCAATACACATTGATTAATCATATGTGCCCACAAATAGATTTATTAGATTAAATCCAACAATCTCCCACTTGGGTACCATATGATTCCTTAAATTGTGTATAACCTTATGAGCTCAAAAATTGCTATCACTGAAAAGGTATTTCCGAACAATCTCGTCCATTGACTATATCAATATAGGATCAAAGCGGCATTCGTCACATTTATCGTGACTCGACCCATCAATGGTCACATATACCAACACAATCAAACGACATAGATCAATCATAGATATGCAGCATGAAAATTACATGCAATGTAATCAGTACATGTCTATTTTTAACTGGTCCTACTTTAGTGAGGTCAAAACCAAACATAATGTAACAGAGTGTCTTAACTGAATACTTTATTCTGATCAGACAATACAACCAAACACAGAGCACCACAATTATAAACTCCCACTAAATCATGATATCCTCAAATAATATCACACTCATATGAGCAGTATGCTCATGAAAGACCCTGGGTGGCAATCCCTTAGTAAGAGGATCAGCTATCATGGAGTTAGTCTCAATGTGCTCTATAGATATATGTCCACTCTGTACCCTTTCTTTCACAACCAGGAACTTAATGTCAATATGTTTTGACTTAGTTGAGCTCCTGTTGTTATTGGAATACATTACTGCAGATTTATTGTCACAATATAACCTTAGTGGTCTTTCCATATTTTCCAAAATGCGCAGTCTCGTGACAAAGTTTCGCAGCCATATTCCCTGATTTGATACCTCATAGCAAGCTACAAATTCTGCTGCCATAGTGGAGGAAGCTACAAGTGTTTGTTTAACATTTTTCTATGATATAGCTCCTCCTGCTAACATATAAATGTAGCCTGATGTAGACTTTCTGCTATCTTGGCATCCAGCAAAATCAGAATCAGAGTACCCAATGACCTCCAGTTGTTTTGATTTTCTGTATGTGAGCATGTAATCTTTTGTTTTCTGAAGATACCTCATAACCCTTTTGACTGCTATCCAATGATCCATACCAGGGTTGCTTAAGTATCTGCCTAACATCCCAACAATGTACGCAATATCCGGACGCGTACATACCTGAGCATACATTAGACTTCCTACAGCCGAAGCATAAGGAATCTTCTGTATTTCCTGAATTTTAAGGTTACCTTTAGGGCACTGATTGAGACTAAACTTGTCTACTTTAGCAACAGGGGTATCTCCTGGTCTGCAGTCTTGCATGTCAAACCTTTTAAGTACTTTATCGATATAGCTCTTTTGTGATAATCCAAGTATACCTCGAGAGCGATCTCGATGTATCTGGATTCCTAATATAAAAGAGGCGTCCCAAGATCTTTCATCTCAAAATTCTTTGATAGAAATCTCTTGGTTTCGTGCAACATGCCTATATCATTAGTGGCAAGCAATATGTTATCAACATACAGAACCAGAAAGATATACTTACTCCCACTGAACTTGTGATATACACAGTCATCAACAATGTTCATCTCAAAACCGAACGAGACAATTATTTGTTGAAACTTATGATACCATTGACGAGGAGCTTGCTTGAGTCCATAGATGGATTTCCTTAATTTGCAGACCATATTCTTTGGGTCTCCTGACACAAAGTTTTCTGGTTGCACCATATAAATCATCTCATCAATGTCTCCATTGAGAAATACAGTCTTAACATCCATCCGATGTAACTCAAGATCATAATGAGCAACAAGTGCCATGATTATTCTGAAAGAGTCTTTCGATGAAACCGGAGAGAAAGTCTCTGTATAATCAATGCCTTCCTTTTGAGTATAGCCTTTAGCCACAAGACGTGCCTTATACCTCTCCACATTACCATTTGCATCCCGCTTGGTTTTAAAAATCCATTTACAACCAATTGGTTTTGCACCTTCTGGTAATGGGACAAGTTCCCAAACCTTATTGTCTTGCATAGACTTGTACTCTTCATTCATGGCATCAATCCACTGTTGAGAGTTAGAACTTTTCATGGCCTGAGAGAAGTTGATTGGATCATCTTCTAACATTCCACTACTTTCCTCATGTTCTTGGAGAAATACAATATAATCATCCGGAATAGCATTTCTCCTTTCTCTCGTGGATCTCCTTAATGGCACTGGTTCTTGAGGTTGTTGAGTTTGTTCTTCTGGAACAGGGAGTTGTTCAACATTATCATCTTGAGGTTCCGGATTTACTTCTTGAGCAACAACAGGTATAGGAACCTGAATATTGTCAAAAGTAACTGTATGGATTGGATCTGAAGCCAATTCCTCCTCAAAACTAATGTCTCTAACCTTATTTCTCCCCCCAAACTCAACATCCTCAAAGAAGGTTGTTGTTCCCGCCTCAAAAATATTCCTTAGTATGGGATCATAAAACTTATAGCCTCTAGAGCGTTCAAAGTACCCAATAAAGTAGCTGCTAACTGTTTTGGAGTCCAATTTCTTTTCATTTGGCCTATAAGGCCTTGCCTCAGCTAGACATCCTCAAATATATAAATGCTTTAAACTGGGCTTTCGACCAGTCCAAAGCTCATAAGGTGTTTTAGCAACTGCTTTACTTGGTACTCTATTCAGAATGTAAGCTGCTGTCTTAAGTGCTTCTCCCCAGAGTAACTCTGGTAAAGAAGAATGAGAGATCATGCTTCTTACCATATCCTTAAGAGTCATGTTTCATCTTTCAGCTACACCATTCATGCTAGGTGAGCCCGGCATTATGTACTGTGGGACGATACTGCATTCCTCTAGGTATCTATCAAATGGTCATGGACGTTATTCACCTGAACTATCATATCTACCGTAGTACTCACCACCACGATCAGATCTAACGGTTTTAATTCTTCTGTTGAGTTGATTCTCAACTTCAGCTTTATAGGCTTTGAACATGTCCAGAGACTCAGATTTTTCATGAATAAGATATAGGTGCCCATAACGTGAGTAATCGTCTATGAATGATATAAAATATTGTTGACCATTCCAGGATTCCGTAGGGAATGGCCCACAAATATCCGTATGTATCAATTCTAAGACATCCGAAGATCTGTTGGCACCTAATCTTTTCACTTTGGTCTGTTTTCCCTTGATACATTCAACACATACGTCGAAGTCCGAAAAATCAAGGGAATCCAAAATGCCATCAGACACAAGACGCTCAACTCTACCTTTTGAGATATGACCTAAGCGCTTATGCCATAATGTCGCCGAATTTTCCTTATTTAATTTACGCTTAGTACCACGTGATTCCACATGCAAGGATTCATTGTAAGAAGCAATTGTATCAAGCAAATATAGGTTGTCATAAGTACTCAAGTAACCGGTTCCCACAACATTTGAATTAAAAGATAAACTGAATTGACTGTTTTCAAATAAACAAGAATAACCTGATTTGTCCAATACAGAAACAAAAATTAAATT